CATTTTGAATTTTTTAATTTTTAATTTTTTCAATAATTAATATTTAATTTTCTACTTTAAGTTTTTAATTTTTAGCATTAAAAATGTTAATTTCTTGATTTTTAATGTATTATTTTTAAAGTAATTTCATTTTGACTTTTTCATCTTTCATTTTTTTTATTTTCTGATTTTTCGAATTTTAATTTTTAATTCTTAATTTTTCATGAATTTTTGAATTTTTCATTTTGCGTTTTTAAACTTTTAACGGTTCAATTTTTCATGTTTTCGTTTTCATTTTTAATTCTTAATTTTATTTTTTTTTATTTTTAAAATGTCTTAAAAATTTTAATTTTTAACTTTGATTTTTAAAATTTTAATTCAATTTTTTTATTTTCATTTTTTTTATTTTGAAGCTTTAATTTTTTTTTTTTTTTTTTTAATTTTTAACAAAAACTCCGTGAAATAACGGAAGGAGCGGAACGAAATCCGAAATCCTGGACCTGGGGGGGCTTTGGGACCACCCGGGGGGGTTTCAGCCCCAAAAGGGAATTTGGGGTCGGGTTTGGGGTGGGGGAAGTGACGGCCCCGGGTCCCCCCCCAGTTCCTGGCGCCGCTGCTGCTGCTGCTCGGCGGGGGGGTGCCGGGAACTCCGGGAATTTAGGCTTCTTCAGGCCCAGGGGCACCTTCAGGAAGTCGACCGTGACCTTGAGGGGCTCAATTTTGTCACCTTGGGGTGGCCTCGCTCAGGAGAAAAGGACGCGCCCACCTGTGGGGACACACGGGGAGCGTCACTGGGGCCGGCCCAGTATGGCCCAGTATGGCCCAGTATGGCCCAGTATGGCCCAGTCTGGCCCAGTATGGCCCAGTCCATCCCAGTATGGCCCAGTCCATCCCAGTATGGCCCAGTATGGCCCAGTCCCTCCCAGTATGGCCCAGTCCATCCCAGTCCTCTCCCAATCCCCTCCCAGTCCATCCCAGTCCATCCCACCCCATCCCACTCCATCTCAATCCATCCCAATCCCATCCCAGTCCATCCCAATCCCATCCCACTCCATCCCAATCCCATCCCAGTCCCTCCCACTCCATCCCAATCCCATCCCAGTCCATCCCAGTCCCATCCCAGTCCCATCCCAGTCCATCCCAATCCCATCCCAGTCCCTCCCACTCCATCCCAGTCCTTCCCAGTCCATCCCACCCCATCCCAGTCCATCTCAATCCATCCCAATCCCATCCCAATCCCATCCCAGTCCATCCCA